GTTTGTAAGGGTGTAGAAAATATATTTGAGGTATACCTCATTTACTTGGTGAATACATTTTGTAAAAAAAAAACCTCTTGCTGCTTGTGTATCGAAATCAACAGGCTAGAAAATGAGAATGTGCTTTGAAACCCAACATTCTGAAATAATCTTGGGATTATATTTTAATCCCAATCTATTTTATTGCCTTAAATGAAAACCCTTTTAGCTACTTCAAAGATGCATGACCTAAGGCTCCATGCAACTCTCAAAAATTTCAAAACAACCACTTCATAAATACATGGCACAACATAGGAGAACAAACCCATCAGGACAAGGTTCAGGAATCCATCTGCATTTGAAAGACAAAGATCACTGTTTTGAAGACCGCAAAGTCCAAATTCTGGACAAAGATAATTGCTGCTTTGAAAGAGGGGTCAAAGAGGACATCTACATTAAGATTGGACAGCCCTCTCTCAATAGAAGAGGATGGAAAAGCCATCACCTATCTCTTATTTACAACACAGTTCTTTCAGCAGTTCCAAGAAGGTTCCACACCAATTTGCACTATACAGGTGACTCTGAGTGCACAGATAAACCTCCAAGTGGCCTCAACAATTCTCAGAAAGAGTGCTAACAACCAGATGACCGCCAGGAATATAAATCCTTCCATCCTCCACCATTCAGTCAGAACTGAAGAAGCTTCCTGGATGATGTGAAATGTCCTCAAGCAAAAACAAAGAAAGTCCAGTTGTCTTTAAAAAAAACACCTTTCGGGTAGACTTAATTACTGGACCATAGAGTTTCTAGCAAACATAATGATTCAGTGATGGCTTAACATTGATTTTTCCAAAGTTCTATCCACTTTCCTCATTAAGAAATGAGTGTGAAAGAGAAATGGTTAAAATTTTGTATTGATTTTGAATGTTTCATGAGAAAGACTAGAATCTGCTTCAATTTTGTACAAAAGGTGGACTGTTAATAAATGAATAAGATCAATAAAATTATGCAATTTATCCTCTTTTCCTTAGTTTTCTTTTTCATGCACAGTGAACATCTGTGATATTTCTGATGGTATGCACTGCATATTGTTTCTTCAAGTCTTTGCCCCTTTCTCATCCATGCATGAAAGACTGCAAACATTCCCAGTATTCTTTTCATCTTCACTAATACCAGGGGTGAAATGCTCCCGGTTCGGACTGACTCGGGCGAGTAGATAGCGATGGTGGCGGGCAGTTCGGAGAAGCAAAAATCCCTGCCCCCACTCCCTATGCCCAGCTGAGCCACGCGATCATCAGAGCCTTTTTTTTCTTTTAAATGGCTCTGATCAGCCAAGCTCTGACCATCCCAGCTGAGTTGCCTGCTAATCAGGCAACTGAGCTTGGATCTCCAGAGCCATGTAAAAGAAAAAAACTTTTTTCCTTTTAAATGGCTCTGCCTGCTAATCAGTAGCAAAAATCCCTCCCCTTCCCCCCCTCAGCTTGCTTACTTAACTGCTGGTCGCAACGCCTTGCTGTAATCCCTGAAATCTAACTATAACTGTAACTATTTTTCCACTCTTATTGCGTCATCAGCCCAGCCGCTCTGTTTAGGGTGACCCACTCCCTCCTCCACCTGGGAGTGCGGGAAGACCCCTTGCAGGGCAGGGCTGAGGATTTTGTGCAATATCTACATGACAAAATTGCTCAGATTCGGGAGGGTCTGGACTCCGACTGGGTAGATCCAGATGGGATGATGGAGGTGGGTCTTGAGAATGTTAGCTGGGAGGATTTTGACCTTGTGATTCCCGAGGACGTGGACAGAGTTCTGGGTAGGTTGAACACGGCCACATGTTTATTGGACCCGTGCCCCTCCTGGTTGGTGCTGGCTTCCCGGGAGGTTACACGAGGCTGGCTCCAGGGGATTGTCAATGCTTCTCTGAGTGAGGGTTTCTTTCCCGCCGCCTTGAAAGAGATGGTGGTGAGGCCCCTCCTCAAGAAGCCTTCTCTGGACCCGGCTGTTTTATCAAACTATCGTCCAGTCTCCAACCTTTGCTTCGTGGAGAAGGTTGTGGAGAGTGTGGTGGCGCAACAGCTTCCCCAGTACCTGGATGAAGCGGACTATCTAGATCTGTTCCAGTTGGGCTTCAGGCCTGGGTATAGCATGGAAACGGCATTGGTCTCATTGGTTGATGATCTCTGGAGGGCTCGGGACAGGGGTTGTTCCTCTGTCCTGGTCCTGTTAGATCTCTCAGCGGCTTTTGATACCATCGACCATGGTATCATGCTGCGTCGGTTGGAGGGGTTAGGGGTGGGGGGCACCGTGTTACAGTGGTTCTCCTCCTTCCTTTCTGACCGTACACAGTCTGTGTTTACAGGGGGGCAGAGGTCAACCCGAGGCTCCTAGTTTGTGGGGTGCTGCAGGGGTCGGTCCTCTTGCCTCTCCTGTTCAACATTTATGTGAAGCCACTGGGTGAGATCATCCGTGGCTTCAGGGTGGATTTCCATCAGTATGCTGATGACACTCAGCTGTACATTTCCACCCCGGGCCACCCCAATGATGCCCTTGAAGTGATGACCCGGTGCCTGGAGGCCATACGGATCTGGATGGGGAGAAACAAGCTCAGGCTCAACCTCTCCAAGACCGAGTGGCTGTGGTTTCTGGCGTCCTGTCATAGTCAGTTGGTTCCATCACTGACTATAGGGGGTGAGACCTTGGCCCCCTCAGAGAGGGTTCACAACTTGGGTGTCCTCCTGGACTCTCAGCTGTCTTTAGAAGATCATCTGACGGCTGTGGTCAGGGGGACTTTTTATCAGGTTTGCCTGATCCACCAGTTCCGCCCCTTTCTGGACTGGGACGCCTTCCGCACGGTCACTCACACCCTCATCACTTCCCGTCTGGACTACTGCAATGCTCTCTACATGGGGCTCCCCTTGAAGAGCACCCGGAGGCTCCAGCTGGTCCAGAAGGCAGCCATGCATCTGATTATGGGGGCGACTCGGTGCTCCCATGTAACACCATTCCTGCGCGAGCTGCACTGGCTCCCAGTGGTCTTCCGGGTGCGATTCAAGGTGTTGGTTGCCACCTTTAAACCACTCCATGGCATAGGACCTGGATATTTACGAGACCGCCTTCTGCCTCCAATAGCCTCCCACCGACCAGTACGCTCCCACAGAGAGGGTCTCCTCAGGGTGCCGTCAGTTAGACAGTGTCGACTGGTGAACCCCAGGGGGAGAGCCTTTTAACTGTGGGAGCACCTGCCCTCTGGAACGAGCTGCCCCCGGAGATTTGTCAGATTTCCAACCTCTGTACCTTCCGTCACACCCTTAAAACGCTATTATTCCATCAAGCAGGGCTGGCCTAAAATATTATTTTAATGGGTTATTGTGTTTTAGATGATTGGCCAAACTATTTAATAATTTTAAATTGTTTTTAACTTTTATATTGCGGGTTTTTATCTTGGCTGTACACCGCCCTGAGTCCCTTTTGGGAGAAGGGTGGTATAAAAATTTGATAAATAAATAAATAAATAAACAAACAAACAAATAAATAAATAAATAAATTGATTGCATCAGCAAGCAACTGAATCTCTCTGTCTGCAATCAAGCAGGCAGGGAGTTGTGGGCTTCAACTCCCAGAATTCCTCAGCCAGCAAAGCAAAGCTGGCTGAGGAATTCTGGGAGTTGAAGTCTACAAGTCTTAATGTTGCCAAGGTTGGAGACTCCTGTTCAATTGGGTAAGTTTTTTTCCCCTTTGGGAGCTTTAAAAAAATAGTAATTGGGGTTTTTTTTAGTTGTTCTTTTTTTAGACCTAGCCATTTAAAGTTTAGGAAGTTTTAAATTTAGCTGCTTTTATATAAAAATAAAAATAAAACAAAATAATATTTGTGCAGCTTTCTGAGATTTAGTTTCACTCTAACTACACAATCACACAAAATCTCACAAAGCTGTATATGGAATTTTGTGTGTGTAAAGTGTGAAAGTTGGTTTTTTGGGCTTTTTGTGGCTGTGTGAGGTTCCTGCTTGTTGCGGGGGCCATTTTGCGTCTAGCACAGCTGCTTTTACATTGTGGGTGAGCCAGTTGTGTTGTGTTGTGTTGTGTGTGTGTAAAGTGTGAAAGTTGGTTTTTTTGGGCTTTTTGTGGCTGTGTGAGGTTCCTGCTTGTTGCAGGGACCATTTTGGATCTAGCACAGCTGCTTTTATATTGTGAGTGAGCCAGTTGTGTTGTGTTGTGTTTTATAGGTTAAAAAAGGGCAAAGAAGTGACATTGACTTGGCCATGCCCACCTGACCAACAAGCCACGCCCTCCCAGTCACCTTACCACCAAGCCCCGCCCACTAATTAAGCCCCACCCACAGAACCGGTAGCAAAAAAATTTAGATTTCACCCCTGACTAATACCTAATGTAGCATGGAGAAACACCTCTTCAAACTGTATTGTTTACTTCTATTTGGGAAGGTAAAGATGGCTGTAATATAATAATGTTGGTTTAAAAGCCTGAATTAATACAGTGACTTCAGGAGGAGAAAATAAAGGCAATGTGAGCAGATCTCCCTTCCCCCCGCCGCCGCCCCAGGCCTTTTTAGGAGTAATTGTGCAGTTGTTGCCACTCTAATATAAGCATGGTTACTTCAACATCATTCATCTTTGCAATAACAAATTGGCTTTTTCATCTATCAATGGTTGTCTTTGTACAGATGTTCTATTTGGATGAGCAGAGAAGCATGCAAAAGCAATCAAAACAATCTTCCAGGATACTGTTCTGATTTTGAAAAGCTTCTCAATTTCATCTCTGTCCACACGCCCTAGCAATCATTTGGAGTTTGTTTGGCATCATGCTTTGTAGCAGTAATATCTCTAATGTGATTCTTTATTTTCATAAGGGGAGAAATGCATTTAGCTTTACAGTGCATTGGGATGTTTAAAGCTACGTGAGCAAACACTGCCTCCTTGGCAGCTTCTCAAATCAAGTGGACAGAAAGAAGCATTTCTGAGCAGCTAAGAGCCAATAGAAGGGAGGAGGGCAGACTTCTATTAGTTGAGATGGGAACTGTCATTCTTGCAGAAATGTCCAGATGCAAATTGACAAGCATGACTGCCAGCAGAGTGACAGGTAATGGGTTTCATATTTTAGGAAAACAATTTTAGCTCCATTGGTTCTGTTGGTTGATTTTGTTATTGTTTTGTGACATGAATGGTTGGCAACATGTTGTTTAATAGTCAGGGACATGGCAATGGGAAAGATAAAGTTGAAGATGTATGCATGATGCTAAACTGGATTCCAAAAATATGGAATTTGACATTTTATGAACAATTCATGCTCTGTTGAACTAAGCAATTGACTAGGAGAACTGTCCTATATGGGTAGAAATAAAACAACATTCCAGATATTAAAGAATAGAGTCAAGAAATGGATTTATTTTTTGTCCATTTCTGAGATGACATTATATTGTTGAACTCAGAAGATGTAATATTATTGTTCTTTATGGTCTATATTTAACAATATATTAAAAACGATGTTAATTGTATAATAATGTTGCATATTTTTTTATTTCAAGTTTTAATTTATTTTTATGAGAGGATGGTGGTGGTGGTAAAGAAGGATTAGTCATGATCTGAATACCACATTTGGTCTTGCAGGATCCAATATGGGTCAGTTATCAGGACTAGACATTTAATCTTCCAAGCTTTCAGACTCATGCTGGAGGCCATCCTCAGTGAACTTTCTCCACTCTGATGATTGACAAGTTTCTAACACCCCAATCAACATCTAAAAAGCCACACACAACAGGTACCATATAAATACCAAACACAGAATAGTCCACAATACACTTCTGCTAAAGAAAACTTACCTGAGATGGAGTCCAGTACGAGTTTGAAAGCTCAGAAGACTAAAATTCTAGTTCTGATGACTGATCCAGATTGGATCCTGCAACTTCATCCTGGGACACATATATTCTCCTTGGTTCGTGAGATATTTGGTCTTCTTCTCCAGGAGAATGTAGGAGATAACCATGCTAAGCCTGAGGGTGGGGTCAAACACATCATCAGACCAGAGTCTTTTAAAAAGTTGAATTAAATTATTACTCCTATCATTTCAGTTAGATGGATCCATCTAACTGAAATGATAGGAGTAATAATTTTTTTATTTTAAAACAAAAACAAAACATAAAACCATCATCATTCCAATCAGTTACAGACAGTGTATCGATTGGTTAACAAATAACTTCAAATATTTTATCTTTACATCAACCTCATATTTCATATTTCATTTAACAATTATTTAACAAAGGCTGAACTCCCATAAGTAAACACTTCATATATTTTATCATTACAATAATTTCATATTTCATACTTCATCTCCATGTTTTATTATCTATCCATTGATAAAACAAATCCCATATCAAATAATATTGTTTATCTTCTTGTTCTCTAATTTCAAATGTCAATTTACTCATTTCAGCACATTCCATAATTTTCTTAATAATCTCATCATCAGTAGGTAACTTTTCTCCTTTCCAGTTTTTAGCAAATATAATTCTAACCACTGTTAAAACATTCACAATTAAATATTGCAATTCTCTATTGTATGTTTCTGGTAAAATCCATAATAAAAATATCTCTGGTTTAAAATCAATGTGTTTTTTTATCATTTTTTCCAGCCACGTGTGTATCTTAGTCCAATATCTCTTAGGTTTTATGCATGACCACCACATATGGTAATATGATCCTGGAGTCTGATGACACTTCCAATATTTCTCCTATGTGTTCTTTAACATTCTTGTTATCCTCGTCAGGGGTAAATGCTACCTGTAAAACATCTTATACAAATTCTCCTTATATGCTGTAGACATTATCATTTTATAATTTTGCGACCACAATTTTTGCTTTCTCTAAATCAATACCATTACCAAAATTTTTTCCCCATGCTATCATTGTTTCTTTAACTTGTTCTTCTTCCAATTTTACATCTAACAAGTATCCATATAGTTTTTTAATTACATAGTCATCAGAACCCATTGAAATCTTATCTAGGTTAGTCATAACATTATAAAAGCCTTCTAGTTTGAGATCTTCTTCATATCTAGAACATATTTGCAAATATGAAAACCAATCCATCTTAAAACCTTGTTCTTCTAATTCTTGCTTCAATTTAAGTTCACCCTTTTCATCCATTAATTCACTATATCTAACAATTTGTTTCCTTCTAAATACTATTAAATATGACAGTGTTTCCCAAAGTGTGGTACGCGTACCCCCAGGGGTACGGGAAGAGTTTGGTGGGGGTACGCATTGCACCGAAGTTTGGTGGGGATCACGTGGGAATATCCACTGCACCGTACTTAACTGTGCCCACAGAACAAGGAAAGAAATAGGCGCGTATCGCAGTTTTTACACGGGAACTGGGGCCATCGTACATCGTATCGCAACTCATTATGGCGGGAACTTCTGCGCATCCTTCGCAAAGCTCGGGTTCGGCCATTTTTAAACTGCGGGAACATTAACAGTTGATGTTGAGCCGTGGAGCTGTTTAAACGCCGGAGAATTGCAGTGTTATCTACGGTTAGACAGTCTTGTGAGGCGTGACACGGCATGAATATACTGCCCTTCGTTACAGAGACAACTTACTTCTTTAATAGTTAGTTCCGGGCGCCTGTTATCGTGCTTTAGTAAGTTCCACTGATTTTGATTATTTTTATAAAATACAATTTTTATCCCTAACAGAGATTATGGATCGTTGGTTGAAATCTGGAACTACTAAACCGAAAGAAAGTAATGATTGTAGTAGCAATCAACGAACAGGAAATAATGAAATTAACGATGAATCAATTTCAATTCTGAAAGAACCTGTTAAGAAAAAAGCAAGGAAAACTCACAAGTACGACAAAGAATATCTTAAATTTGGATTCTCATGGACTGGAGATGAAAATGAGCCTATTCCACTTTGTGTCATTTGTTTTGAAAATCTAACAAATGAAAGCATGAAGCCATCCAACTTAAAGCGCCATTTTGAGACAAACCATAATCAGTACAAAGATAAACCCATAAATTTTTTTGAAAATAAACTTAAGGGTTTAAATCAGTCTCGAACAGTAATGCGGGGTTTGACGGGAGGTGACAATCAAAAAATACTAGAAGCTTTGTATCACGTGTCGCTTTTAATTGCCAAATGTAGTGCAGCGGAAACCATTGGCGAAATTTTAATCAAGTCTGCAGCCAAGATAATGGCAGAAGTAATGATAGGAGATAGAGCAAAACAAACTTTTGACCACGTTCCTCTCTCAAATAATACAGTTCATCGATGAATCATTGATATGTCTAATAATGTAAAACAGATGTTATTATCTGATATTTCTCAAAGTCGTTATTATGCATTGCAAGTCGATGAGTCCACCGACATTGCGAATTTTGCAAATCTTATGGCATTTGTTAGATACGAAAAAAATCAAGAAATTCATGATGACTTTTTATTTTGCCAGCCTTTATTAGGTCACACAACAGGAGAAGATATCTTTAATGTTATGAATACATTTATGCAAGAGAACAAAATTGATTGGAATAGATGTGTTGGAATAAGCACAGATGGAGCAAAAAGTATGGTCGGAATTAATAAAGGACTCATTGCAAGAATTCAAAATGTTGCTCCAAATGTCATATCCACACATTGTTGCATACACAGAGAGGCTTTGGCAACACGTAAGATGCCCGCTGATCTACAGAAAGTTCTGGATGAAAGCGTGAAAATCATTAACTACATTAAAAGCCATCCTTTGAATGCACGACTTTTTTCACAAATATGTGAAGAAATGGGAAGAAGTCATACCCAGCTGCTTTTTCATACCGATGTTCATTGGCTATTTTGGGGAAAAATTCTAAACCGATTGTTCGAACTTAGACATGAACTTCAATGCTTTCTTAATGATAGATTTGAGTTGAGAAATTGTTTACATGACTGGAAATGGCTTTGTAAACTAGCATACTTAGCAGATATATTCTCTGTTTTAAATTGCCTCAACTTATCGTTACAAGGCAAAGAAATTTCATTGTTTCACGTTCAAGATAAAGTGAACGCTACCATCACAAAACTAAATTTATGGCAAAAGAGAGTTGGTAATGGAGAAGTAGACTTGTTTCCCTCTCTTCATGAGTTTATAACAAGTTCGGCTACTAAAATTGAGGCTGATACTCTGAAATGCATAATACAGCATTTGGAGAGTTTGCAAGTTGGCTTGAAAAACTATTTCCCTGATTTAAACAAAAATATTGAATGGATAAGATATCCGTTCAACATTAACACAACATCCATGCCAGAAGGTTTGTCGCATGCGGAAGAAGAGCAATTGTTGGAGTTAGCTTCGGACGGATTCTTGAGAAATAAACATAAGGAGTGTACTTTAACATCATTCTGGTTACAAATGCAACATGTGTATCTGGTTTTAACAGAAAAAGTCCTGAAATACATCTTGCCTTTTCCAACTTCATATTTATGAGAAGTTGCTTTTTCTGCATTTGTAGACATTAAGTCAAAAAAAAGGAACAGACTATTGGATGTGGAACCGCATCTCAGATTAAAATTAACAACCAGGGAACCAAATTATGATGATCTGTCATCTCAACATAAACAATTTCATCCTTCTCATTGAATCAAATAAATGTTCTTTATAATATAACTTTCGTTTATTTTGTGTATGTACCAAAAAAATAAAAAAATATGCCATTAAAATCACCCATCATACATATATTGTCATATTCCAATTCAATTATTTTCATATGCAGTTTTCTATAAAAATCACTTTGATTGTTATTTGGAGCATATATTGCCACTAGAAGAATTTTTGTGTTATTATCTGTTATCTCCACCATCAAAATTCTACCTTCTGCATCTGCATATATTTGCTCAGCGGGTATTGCATTTCTAATATACAAAACTACTCCTCTTTTTTTACATTGTGGCAATGATGTAAAAATTCTCCCAAGTTTTGGTTGTACCAATAATTGTTTATATTGCTTTTTAATATATCAGATTTTAGTTTCTCTAATTTATGAAAGACCTTTCTTCTCTTAACAGCTGAATTAAGTCCATATATGTTTATTGAAATCAATTTTCTTTCTTCCATGTTCATATTTTATATGTAGGTTTTGTTGCTCTAGTTGATCTCACCTCTCGCTGTTCCTTGTATTCCACAACCCCTCCTACTGCACCTTCTGTTTCTTGAATCATTGCCAATTCCTCCTCTCGAAATTCTACTGGGACTACTGTTGTTTGGGATTATAATTTCTGTCTCCGTTACTTTCTCTTTAAGAAAATCTGCATAAAAAGTCTTCGCTTCGATATCCAATCTATATCTTTGAAGTTGCCACGTTAACACTAGCCCTTCTGGAACCAACCATCTATAATTCACACCTTTTTGGAGTAGAACTTGTCAAAAATTGATATTCTCTTCTCATCTTTTTTTTTTTTTAATTTGATTTATATGCCACCCTTCTCCGGAGACTCAGGGCAGCTTACAATGCGTTAAGCAATAGCCTTCATTCTTTTGTATGTTTTATACAAAGTCAGCTTATTGCCCCCACAAACTGGGTCCTCATTTCACCTACCTTAGAAAGGATGGAAGGCTGAGTCAACCTTGAGCCTTGGAGAGATTCGAACCAGCAGAAATTGCAGGCAGCTGTGTTAATTACAGGGTGCACTAAACCCCTGTACTATCAAGGCTCTTATCTCTCTCACTTTTCTTGGTATTTGCTTCAAGACCACAATTTCTTTCTCCTTATACTTCAATGTTTTGTCTCTAGCAATCTGAAGTATTTGTGCTTTGGTTGATTTCTTAATAAATCTTATGTGCACCTCTCGTGTAGCTTATTGCACATTGCCTACCTACTGTACACTCGATATATCTTGTCCACATCCTCCATCATTTTCTCTTTGGTAATTTCCAGTGCTTCAGCTAGTATTTCTATCATTTCTGGCAAGTTTTCTCCTTTCTCTTCTTGGACATTTTGGAATGTAAGATAGAATTCTGATCTATCCATCTCCCGTCCAATCAATCCGCTCCTGTCATGTTCAACTTCTCCCAGTCTATTATCTATGTCTTTGATTTTTTCCTTCTTTTGTTCCTCCTTTTTCTCAAGGTTTTGTAGTCTCTCTTCATATTTCAACATCACTTGCTGGATGCTTGCCACTTTTTCATTTGTCTTCAATAGTTGTTGTTCCATCCTCTGGACTGTTTGAAAAATCATCTGTAGTGTCATATCTTTATCTCTTTCTTTTTCTTTGTCTTTTTCCAATTGGAGCATAGCCTGAATTGATTGCTGTCCTCCAGATGGTGACGAAGAAGGCATGGTGGACAAGGATCCAACTGTTGCTACTTTTCTACTCATTCTGTCCAGTAGTCACCAATGTCCAAATATAAGGAGACAAAAAAAATGGTAGGAGTTACAAAAAAAGAAAAAAAGAGAGAAAAATAAAAATGAAAAATAGAAGTAGGTCTTTAGGTTCTTCAAGACCCTAATCCACTTAGTAAACAAAACAAAAACAAAAAAAAAGCAAAAGCAAAAGCAAAAGATGAAAATAAATCTTCAGGTTCTTCAAAATCCTAATCCACTTAATGAGAGAAAAAAAGAAAAAATAAACAACAACAACAACAACAACAACAAAAAGCAACAAAAAGGGAACAGCAACAAAAAAGAAAAGCCACCCTAGAAGAAAATTAAAAAATCCAGAAAATTCAATCTTCAGGCACTTGGCTACCTTAATCCAATTAAATTATGTAAAGTCAATGAATAAAGAGGAAAGAAAAATCCATTAAACATATTTCAGCAAGGTAAGTATACAGAGAGTTATCTCTTATCCAAAGCCAAGAGGGAAAAAAATGATAAGAGTTTCAATTTCTTCTATGATGCTTCTGGACTCCTACTTCAAATGAATCCACAGAGAACACCTATGTAAACAATGCAGATAGTTCTAACTTGCTCAGATGTTCTCCTCACAATCTCATCAACAAAATAATTCAGTTCAAAGTCCTTGCCTCATAGCAACCATGTAAATTCTCAGCTATAACTTAAATAGAAAAGAATAACAAAGTTTCTTTTCCAGTAGATGGCAATATCACACACTCTCCTAACTCCCTTGCCATTTGTAATCCAAGGCTTCTTTGTCAGTAAAATGGTAAAATAGTAAAAAAGAGGGGGGGCGGAGAAAGGTTTTAATGTGATCTTCAAAAGAAAAAGAAAATAATTAAGGTCCCCCCAAAAAATTGTTTCCAAAGAAAGGCACACCAACTTTCAAGTTAAATTTATCAATCTTTTTCAGTCCAGTCCCAGTTCATTATAAAACAATTTTGCCAGTTTAAATGATTTGAGTGTAAAAAAAACACAACTCCAGCTAACTTCACCACTTAATTTCCTCTTATCTCAATTCTCTTGGCACTTCTAACTCAGGGTGTTCTTTTCATTAGTTTAAAATAAAGCTCTCTCACCACATCAATCACTGTCCTCCCATTCTTCTTCCAGAGCTGTCCCAGCTTCAGCAGCTACAATGGCTGCCACCCCATTGCTAGAAAAAGGGCTTCTCCTGGATCAGCCAGGGACTTGCAATATCCCTGGGGTCATCAGGATGTGCCCTCCACTATCACAGTCAAAACAAGACTGCGAGGTCCAAAAAGGACCATCCAGCAATGGGGCCATTCCACAGCAACGTCAAGCTCCTCCTTTATCAAAATAAATTTTTGATCATGGCCTAATGCCAGAGGTGGTATTCAGCGAGTTCGCAACAGTTCGCATCAACTGTTGGCAGAAATTTGGCCAAGGGCACCGAACCGGTAATGATGGTCAGCTGGCCACGCCCCTGAACTGGTCCCTGGGTCACCGTTCGCCCCACCCACCATGTTCGTCACCTCCATGTTCTTCGCATATGCGCATCCCATTGCCTTGCAAATCCAATGGGATGCACATGCACAAAGAACATGGCAGCGACAGTAGCACCTTTTCCTGCAACCTCCAGTACTTTTCAGCAGCCTGTGGCCAGCCACTGCAGCCGCAAAGCAGCTCTCAAAGAGGCAGCAGCTGGGAGGCTTTTTTGCCAGCCACTTTCCAGCAGTGGCGGCTGGCTGGGGGCCATCGAAAACTCCGGTCAGCTTGCCTTCCGGACTCTGGACCAGCCAGGGTGGAAGGTAAGCAGCCTGAACAAAGAGGTGGTGGTGAGGGGATGAAGCGGGGCTAGGGCTGGGGCCAGTAAAGGTGGGGAAATGGGGGTGACTGGCGAAGGGAGGGCAGGGGTAGATAGGTGGAAATTCCAAAAATTTTCCTACCTTTTCCTGTAGGTATGGTAAGGGGGGGTCATGTGACTGAGTGGGTGTGGGCGTGAGTGATGTCAAGTTGGCCATGCCCACTCAGTCACATAGCCCACACACCTAGCCACACCCACTGAACCAATAACGAAATTTTTTGAAACCCACCACTGCCAAACACAATAGCTAATTTATCACATTTAGTCATTCCAGTTCCACAAACTGAAAGCAGAAACTTCTGTTTTTGTGTTTGGAATAAAATCTCAAATGTTCTTGGTTTCCTTTTGATAATTAAATAGTTTGACAAAAGCTTTTGGACTACTCTATATATACTGTACAGAAGGTTAGTTTAAACAAACTGGTATAGGCATTCTGAGGGTTGCCTTTCCCTTTCAGCATAATTATTTTATCCATTGTGGGACCTCACCCTTGTTTATTTGATAGTGAACAATGTCAAAGTAATTCCTTCCACCAGTTTTCATCAAATTTTCAGTGCCACAATTATTTTTAACTCATGGCCACAGGCAAATATTTCAACAGACAATGTTGTGAATGGTGCAAAGAGAGGTCAAACCCTCCTCTTTCAGCAGGCAAAATGTGTTTGCTTGAATGAATTGCTCAGATACAAAATTGCTGGGAAGTCACATCCATCTTCAGATCTGAATGTCTCTTTCTCCTGCAGACCTGAGGAGATTCTGAAGAGCTTGATGAGACAAAGACTTTTAGGGTAAATGGAGCAGGCATAAAGGACCTTAAAGACAAAAAATTGTGAGGACTATAGGATAAGAAAGATTGGAACATGAATGAACTATATAAGTACTATGCCAAATAACATTATTGTGCTCTCTTATGTAGTCTGTCAGAAAATAGACTACTCTGCCCTTTTTCCCCTAAAGGAGAATACTTCCTTGGCAAAATATGTTTATGTCTGAGAGAAGGATGTGTCAGATTATTTTGCCTCTCATTCTACCTCCATCTCTCCAGGTGTCTGTAGCCTCCTAGGCTTCCTAAACATCAATTAAATTTCAAGAAAAGAGCTCAGGAGGAACTGTTTCTTTTGCTAACAGAAAAGATGGACAAAGAGCTTCCAAATTATTAAACGATTTAAATGAAAAGAAAATCAGCAACCTGTACACCTTTATAACAATAACCACACTTCAAAAATAGTGTTAAGTGAAGTTCTAAATAATTCTAAAACAACCAAA